TTTAACTTCTTTGATTTTCAGTGTGTTAATAACATGCCAAGAATGACTTTAGCAGTCTTCATTTAGCTGTTCTCACTAGTTTGAGTGAAGGCATTTTCATTTCTTCAGTGTTATAATCAGGTCTTATATTTTACTTACATGTTTGCAGATCCTGGAAGAGTAAAATTGTGGTCTGATGCTTAGAATTTCATGGTACTGTGGTAAAAATGGCAATAATGACAATTTCTGGAATAGTTTTAGCACTTACTTTTGCAAGCTAACTAAAGCATCAGTATGTGATAACTCAATTCAGATGCATTCAATGGAAAGCAATGCTGAACGAATTTAATAATAAATTTGCATAGCTGTATTTTGTTTACAGTTGCTAGCAATTAATGTTTAATTTGAGTGCTTAACTGTTTGGAAAAGAATGGATGATGCTACATTAATGTGCTTAAAGAATATTTTTCTGTCTCCTGCTTTTTGCACAGAGGACAGTAACAAGTTGGGTTTTTTTGTGGTGAAAGCTGCTAAGTCTGTTGAGTTTTATATAAATGAGTGTTCTAGCTAGAGTTGTTTCGACTGTACAACAATACTTCATTTAGACAATAGTACTGTAATTTGAAAAAGTGATGGGTTCCTGTTACAGTTTGGTCACTTTTTCCAGGAGTAAAAACTGTCTTGGCATGATAATGGGTAGTTTCCAGTTTGGAAATTTAAAACATTAAATTATTTGGACCTTTAGTCTTTTTTTAATCGATAGTTTCTTTGAGGTTTTCAGTTTCATTAGCAGATTCTTTTAGTAGATCAATTTCTAGCTGTCAGAATTAATATTGGTATTGCAGTGGTGTGGCTGAAAAAAGTTTGACTATGAAAATATTTCTAAACCAATTATGAGCATTTCTTCATAAGGTGTTATAACTGCTTCATAAGATGTTATCAGTATTTATTAGGCATCATGCAGCTTGCATCCTGCTTTTTTCCCCCTTTAATTTCTCTAAGAAACTCCTAATTTGTAACAAGAAGTGTAATGGAATTACAGGAAATGTGCAAAGAGTAGGAACTATGACTGCAGTACAGTTTAAGAGTTTTGGGAAGGGCTGGATAAGTATGCTGAATTTTACATGTTAATATTTCTATTGATTCTCTGCATCCCAACGAACAGCAATCCCAGGTGATTAGAAGTAACTTTGCTTCATCAGATCTTAACACAGAAAGTAACTTGCAATAGGTTGTCATTTAATTTCTTGTGAGCTATAGTCCTAGACCAAGAGTTTGCATTAGGTGTGGTATAAACATGGGCAGAGGAGGGGAAGGTACTTTCTGTGGCAGAGGAACCAAAACAATGGGTGGCTGCAGGGAGAAAGATGGGAGTGCCCTAGGGAAACCTGGAACTGTTGTTGGCCAGTGTATTGTAATTGAGGATATGCAGTTCTGTTAAGAGTTAGTGATTTCATCAGACAAACAGTATCTTGCACTTCTGAAGACTTAACCTGCTGCATTGCTTGTTGCTTGGCTATGGGCACTGCTCCCCAGCTGTAGCATTTTTGATATGATTAACTGCAGCAAATTATTAGAATTATTTTGCTTAATTATGTCAGTCCAACAAATTTATGGATTGTACTTAAATGCAAGTCTTTATTAATTCCCCTTTCCCCAAATCCTGTAGGTCTCCTGCCACTAGCAAGAATTTACATCATGCTTTAACCATGGTATAGTTCTCTGTAGTTTGTTTATATATTACTATCATTTTTTGCATTTTATTGTATATTTTTGTGTGGCTTACACATGTTATTTGTATCTGGGATCCTAGATAAAGACCAAGATAGTATTCTGTTCATTTTTTGTGTGTGCCATAAACAGCGTCATGCCCCAAGACTGAGCAAACAAAAGACAAAAGCAGATTTGAGACTATAAAGAAACAATGGAGCAAACATAGATCAGTAGGGTAAATAGCAGTTGTAGCTTGCTAGTGGTCAAGTTATTCTACAAGTGTTGTTTTGTAATAGAAAAGAAATCTGGGTATTTGCTGGCAGTTCCTTCCAAATACAAGAGCAGCATAGGAAAATCCCTGTGTCTTGGTGTTGGTGTGTTTTCAAACAAGCAAGGCAGTACTGAAGACTATAGTTTGATTACTTTAATCCCAGAGTATCCTAACATTTTGTAACTGAATGGGACAGTTGTGTGAGTTTTCACAGCCCTATGCTGCTTTACCTTGGCTGGTTTGGACACATCAGAGAGAGGATATAGGCAAGATTTATGCATATTGTCATATGAATATGGGAACCTAAAGAGAGTTATGAAACTTATAATACATATAGGGAAAAAGGAGATCAGGCTTATGGCAAAGATCAAAAGGTTGCTTATATAGAGGATCTGTAAAATTGGTAGAACAACTGGGAAGGACTTCAGTGGGACAGATTTATATGGTACAGATACAGTTTGTCATCGATCTCTAGCATAGGGCCACAGATCTCTTGGACCTTTCTGCCCTCTTCTTAAAGCTTTCAGTAACAGTTACCTGAATCCCATGCTGCAAGTCAAGGCCATTATTCCTTGTCCTGCCACCAGCAGAGAGAGAGTGTGTGGTGTGAGATTTTTTTGATGGGGTTATTTTGTTTTGGTGGGAGTTTTTGTGCGTTTTGGTTTGGTGGTCGCATTGGGTGTTTTTATTTGGCTGTTATCGGGGAGTTTGTTGTTGGTTTGGTTAGGTTTTTTTAACCTTCCTGATTGAAAGAATCTGGTAGGTTTTGAAGAGTATGTTATCTGTTTTTTTTAAATTCTGGAAGGGGACAGGTGATCACAGAATATACTGAGTTGAATGTTAGGGAAACAGAGCAATGCAGACAGAATTTGGATCTGTATGGGCTGTGGCTGTAAAGCTCTTTTATTCTGTTTGTTGTTTGTGGGATTTTTCTCCTCTCTATCTTGAATTTTGGTTTGTGGTAATTTGCTTCACAAAGGATTAGACTTGTATGTTTGTAGAAATTGAGAAGGGGTTTAAAGTAATGTACTGTAGGAAAGGTTGCTGTCAAACATTTGATTATAGGGTCTGCTGAGTTTAATACTGTATTTCAAAATGCAGGAAGGAATTAAAGCTGAAAGACAGTGTTTTCCTGTTGGAAGCAGGGACATGCCTAATAATGGAGGAACAGCCTTGGTTTCATTTGAATGACGTGATAACAAAAAAATTCTGGTTAGAGGAAGAAATGTGTTTATTAACTGTGTGAGCTCAGTCTTTTCTTGTGTCTTACTGTTAATATTCTAGAGGTGAACTTGACCTATCAAGATTTATCATTCTTTGTTTTCTCTTGTATGTTTAATGCCTGTACTGTGTGTACTGTGTCTGTAGTGGGCATACTAAATCCTATTGGTATGCAGTGTGTCTGTCCTTCACAATTTTATCTCTAAGGATGCTCAGGTGACATGGAAGAATGGAACACAGAGACCAGTTTGACTAAGGTCACACTAAGAATCTCTGGCACATTTGCCCATGCTGTGCTGACATCCTAGAAGTCATTCTTATCCTTCAACAAACCCTATTTCAGAAGTTAGATCTGCAGCTTTTTCTTTCTTCAAGCTGTCTTCACTTTCAGTTTTGTGAGATCATTATGTTGAGAAGTTTCAATTAACTGGGGTTATATAATAATTTTAAAATAAACAAATATGGTGACATTTCCTAAGAATTAGTGCTCCTTAGCTGTACTAGAAGAAATAAGGAAACCACATAGTTGGTGTTTTTTTTTTAATTATATTGATAAAGCTATAAATGTGGATCTGAAATTGATGTGGGACTGCTTTGAGAAAGAGATGCCACCATCTCCAACCTCATCAGTGTACAGCACTGTTTCTGTGCTGTACCTCAGGTCAAGGTTGACAAAGTAAACAGAACGGCAAAGTGTTTTTCAGTGTCTGCATTTGTAATACCAAGTTCAATAAACATTTAAGTATCAGATGAATGCTGCTTTCTGGTATCTGTCCTTACAGAAAAATGGCAGTCCTGTGATGATGCAGCAGAACATGTATTGGTAGCACTACATCCTTTGAAAAAGTATTGTTAGTAATTGGGGGTAAAAGCAGAAAGCATTCAAATGGATTTTTTTTTTCCCTGTGTTTCTCAGATGGTGGTAAAAACCTTCATGGATATGGACCAGGACTCAGAAGACGAGAAGCAGCAGTATCTCCCATTAGCCTTGCACCTTGCATCTGAATTTTTCCTCAGGAATCCCAATAAAGACGTTCGCCTCCTTGTAGCATGTTGCTTGGCTGATATCTTTCGTATCTATGCTCCTGAAGCTCCATATACTTCCCATGACAAACTTAAGGTAAAATACTTCTTAAAATAAAGGATTTCTTCCTACCTCATTCTCTTATTGAGGAAAAGAAAAGTCACCCCTTCCCCCTCCTGCCCCAAACAAACCAACCAACTCCCCCCACCCTAAACCTAATGGAATCCCATTTATATTGATGGTCAGTTTTATTGAAGACATGTTGGTTTAATCCTGTGAGTCAATGCAGTGCCTAAGGGCCAAGCATGTGTAGAGGAATGGTAGATGACCAGTATCTTTGCTGGTGATATCTTTCTGTCAGTGCCTAAAAATAGAGAGTGTAATGTTCTCATATGTGAAAGTGTGGGTACATGTCACTACCAAATGGTTGTATTTCTGTTCTCTGCTGAATCAAGACTGTAAACATTTTATTGTGTTTTTTTTGACAGGACATATTCTTGTTTATTACAAGACAATTAAAAGGCTTGGAGGACACGAAGAGCCCTCAATTTAACAGATACTTTTACTTGTTAGAGGTAACTTTCACTAGATAGTATTTGCTCAGTGTAATCAGTCTTTCTCCAGATGTGCCAGTATGCCTGGGAAATTTCTTGTATTCTGTAAATCACACCACTCTCATTAATGTTCAATGAACTCCTGCTTTTAGTAGCTATAATTCTGTTTGCATTTAGTAAGTTCATCAGCCTGTAGTTGAGGACATGTTAAAATGACTGGTATTTATTAGCTTTTAGCCTTTATATTACAATTCTATACATTGTTTTTCTTAGCAAGAGAGAAAATTTCAAATGCTGATTAAAATGCAAATGTGCTTATGTTAATGATGGGAGAAGGGATATAAGATTTTTTGCCCTAAAAACATCACAAAACCAAACTCTTGACAAGAACTGGGATGTGTTTCAGGGTGCATTGTAGAACAGTATCTTGTTTATAAACCTTTAATTGATGTTTAGAATTGTGTTGTTCCATAGCATGAAGAAAAAAATAGGGACTTAAATTAAGAATTCCTGTCAATCTGCTTTTATACATAAGAAATTAGATTATTCTATATTTAGATTTTTTTCTGGATATGTCTTGCAAAGCCCTTTTATGTCAGGAGCTGTTTATATGCAAGCAAATATCCAGTCTCTTTCCCCAAAGGGTTTACAATCTTTTGTATATTATTTTTTCTTAAATAATGTAACTAATATGGTTATATTTATGTGCCTTAACGTGCAGTTGTAATATCCTGAATATCCTATCTTTTGTTTTAGAATTTAGCTTGGGTTAAATCTTACAACATCTGCTTTGAGTTGGAAGATTGCAATGAAATTTTTATTCAGCTTTTTAGGACTCTTTTTTCAGTTATCAAGTAAGTTGAATTGCTTCCATTGTATTAAACTGTCAAAATATCATCAGTTTTGAAGGTAGACTGGGTCCTAGCATAGTCTGCAGATAAATATGTCTGAACAGAACAAGTCTTTATTTCTCCAAATGAAGAGATGGGGAAAGCAAATGAGCGTGAATTACTGACAGTATGGAGGGGGGGTGTGTCTGCAAGTAGGTGTGTTGTAAAATTTCTTGTCCATGTTACAAGAGTATGCTTGTTTCTGATTCATTGATTTACATTTTTATTTCCTTGGTGGTTGTTACAAGCAGACCTAGATTGTTCTAGGTTTTTAAACCTTTCTATAAGAGTGAAGGGCACATAAAATAGTTTTGAGATGTGGAGAGTGTAAGGGAGGGCAAGCTGGCCAGTGTTAGATATTGTTTCTTAACTGTACTCTTAATATTTGTCAGGGTCTGAAAATTTAATATAATATTCTTTATGATCTTAGTAATAGCCACAACCAGAAGGTACAAATGCATATGCTGGATTTGATGAGTTCTATCATCATGGAAGGCGATGGAGTAACTCAGGAGCTGCTGGACTCGATTTTGATTAACCTCATTCCTGCACACAAGGTCTGCAAAGTGAAATGTTACAGTAGTTTGCCATTATAAGAACAATAATTTCATTGCCTTTTGCATGTTGTGTATCTCTTCACACATTTTAGCCGTTGCAACTGTTTTCTTTCCCCCCAGTCTTGTAAGAGTGGATTGAAAATTTCCTTTGGGAATTACTGATGCTGTTCATTAGCTGTATCTAGATTATTTGATATCAAGAGATTGTGCCTACTTGCCACTGCAGGGTCTCTGTACTGAAACAGAAATAAAGTGATTCCAGGCAAATGCCATAGGAAAACATTATGTCATAAGGATTGTGGGTTGTCAGTTGTTTTACTTTGGGGATTCGTTGGGGTTTTTGAATTGAAAAGATGTGAAGTATCTTTTAATTAAAACGACAAAAAGTGTGTGTGTGGAGGGAAAGACTTTCCCAAGACTTCTGTGGTGTCTTGCTGCTTGCCTCAGCTTGCCTTTCAGACTTTCCTCCACCTCACTAGTTGTGCTTCACACCTTCACATTTCCCTGTTTAACTCAATTATAAGGGATAAAGTGACACCCACACCACACCCCCATTCCTAGAGGAATTTTATATGAGCACCTCCTCAAAGAGGAGGTCACTGGGTCTGCAGTTGAGCTTTTGAAGTACCTTTACTGTAATGCCTAAATGAATTTGAAACAAGAATAAACACAACTCCTTGAGCTGTGAAATAAGGGAAAATGAGATGGTGGCTGGTGTTGCTTTGCATTGACCAAGAAGATTCCCTTGCTAAAATGCTTGTTACTCTTACTGAAAATTTTTAAGTTAAAAGTTGAAAGTTAAAATAATGACAGAATTCAGGCAGCTTCATCCATGACTACATAATTAAAGTTAAATTAGCACATAAAAGCAGGAATTACTCCTTTGATTAGCCAAAGAGGGAGAAGTCATGAAAATGCATGGCACAGGAGTGACTAAGCCATGGCCATTGTCATTTACCTGTGAAATCTCAGCATCAGGTGTATAAAAGTATCTGTTGTCTGAAGTCAGTTTGCATTCCTTCTGTCATGGTCATGAGACAGGAGAACCATCTATCAAATAATTTTTATTGACAGCAATGAGATAATGTCTTATTAAAACTGCTAACAGAAAGACAGGCCTCTTACAACAATAGAAAAAGAGTCCTTTTGAAAAGACATCATCCCTTGTAAGGTTTTATCCTGATTAATTATAGGCAGTAGATAACAGGAATGGATATAGAAGAGTGGACATGTGTGTGTCAGGTTTGGAGAGAAAGTGTTGGGATTCTTTTTTTCATTTGAGATGACTTTGTCTTCTGTAATGAGGCATCAGTTCAGTGTGTTGGTGACTGAGGAGATACTTGTGTGAGCCTCTGGCCATTTGTTTCTCTTTAGGATCAGTTGATGAACTGTCCTTCAGTTTGTCACCTCATTAGTTAAAGAACATGAGGGAGTTGTTCTCAGTGTACATTTGCCAAATACTGTCTTTCCAAGAATCAGTCATCCCTAGGCTTTACCTGCATTTTGTCTGCAGTCGTTCGTAATTTTCAGGGCAGTCAACTAATCCACTTTTTTTTTCTTTCCTTCGAACCTGCATTAATCCCTAGATGATATGAGATACTGCATATTGGATTTATGCAGACTTGGACAGACACATTTTTCAGATGTGCAGTTACATTCCTTATCTTGCTGAAGAGTAATAAAAACCATGTTCAGATTTGTCATGATGCAGTCTAACTTGAAAAGTGTTCAGCTAACTCTGCCCAAGCGTAGGTGGTTGCTGTGGGTTCCCTGTGAACTGTCTCAGAGCATACAGTACAGTCAGTGGAGAAATCAGTGCAGTTTTACCCTCTAGACAAGGCTGAACTTTGCTACAGGGTGTATCTTTATTGAGTCTGAGCAGGGAGAGAACTTGTGTTTAAATACTAAGTTAGGCTTCTTCATTTTTCAGTGGCAAAATTTGGTGCACGTTAATTTTCAAAGTATGGAATTGTTTCTTCAGATTTTTAAATGTAATTGTGAAGACTTTATAGATATGAATGCATTGCTAAAGGTAACAGCTGAAAAAGTCTTAGAAGAATGTGCAGGAAGCAATGGTTTTGGGTTGGATTTCTGAATGTGTTCTAAGATTTCTCCAGGTGTGTAGTTGTGGAATTAGTTGAACTCAACTTGGATAGCTTTGTAAACAGATTGGTGGTGAAACATACCTTTCTAAGGTCATGGGCTTTGAGAAGGAAAAGTAAAGTAATCTGAAGTCATTTGTCTCTATAAAATTTTATGATGTTTTCGAAGTCATTTGTCTCTATAAAATTTTATTATGTTTTCTGTTTCAGAACCTTAATAAACAAGCGTTTGATCTTGCAAAAGTCCTGTTGAAAAGGACCGTCCAGACCATTGAACCGTGTATTGCCAATGTATGTAAACTGATGAATCCTTCTTACCTACAGTTAACAAGTACTAATGTCTTGAGTTGTTGGAGATTGGGTGAGGTGTTTTCTCTTTTAAATACTGTTTATAATGCCACATTTTGTAACGCCGCTACAAGAATACCATTTTCCAAATAGGCTGTTGTTAGGTTGGTTTAGTGAAACATGTGAGATGTTTGAAAGAAGTGAGGAGGAAATTAATTTTTTGCCTATCTCAGTCTAAAATTAAGGCTAAATCTTTGAAAATAGGTGAGCACCAAAACTCCTGATACAGCAAAAGGAATTGTTAGTACTTCCTGTGTCCAGTAAGTAGGCAGCTTCATTTCATACCAAGGTGTAGGATGAAGCATTTCAAACTACCAGCTCTTTACTAGATTTTTCTTCCCTCTCATACTTGCTGTAGCCCTAAAAATTAAGAGAATTTATTTATGAGGGTTTCTTCTACTATAATTTTTTTTGTTGAATGTCAGTGTTGTATGTTTTGCCTATTCATAATAGTTTACTGGGGGATGTGGTCTGATCCATTCTGTTGCCTTTTCTTGGCCAATAGAATTCTTAAAAGCCAAAGCAGTTTAAAAGGGGAATTAGGCAAATTCATGAAAGATTAATCAGGAAGTATTTAAAAGCTCAAGGAGTCTGACTAACTAGTACAACTTTAAAATTCCCCTGTTTCTTTAAGCTTTATAATTAGTCATAAGCGGAATACATAGTGACCTTTGAGTTGATTTAATACTGTTCTTCTTTCTTTTTCAAGTGTGTAATAGTTTTGTAGCATTTGCACTGCTCAAATAGTATTAACCCACAGTATCTATATAAAGTATATTAACATTTAACAAATCCAGAAGAAATAATTCATATTATAGGCTACTTCAGTTTCTTACTGTTAGGTTGCTAATAACTGTGATGCATCAGCATCAAATACCACGAGACATAACATCTGACATTTGATTTGAAGTAGAGAAGCTTCTTTTTCAGCATTTGATGATCTTCAGTTGAATTGGTTCTAAATGATAAGAAAATTAAAAATAAGATACCAGTGTGTTTTTTCTCAACATCTGCTGGATGAATATGCAGTTAAAATTAAAAATTCTTCTATTACCTGTAAATTTTTGCTGGGGAGATGGTTATTAATATTTTTAATTATTAAATTATCTTGAATTAAACTATTATCTCCCCTATGAGGACAGGCTGAGGCAGTTGGGGCTGTTCAGCCTAGAGAAGAGAAGACTGCGTGGAGATCTCATAGCACCTTCCAGTATCTGAAGGGGCTACAAGGAGCTGGAGAGGGAGTCTGTTAGGAACTGCAGTGATGGAGCAAGGGGTAATGGGTTCAAACTAAAGGAGGGGAACTTCAGCATAGATATTACAAAAAAGATTTTTACTGTGAGGGTGGTGAGACACTGGAACAAGTTGCCCAGGGAAGTGATGGCTGCCCCAGCCCTGGCACTGTTCAAGGCCAGGCTGGATGAGCCTTGAGCATCCTGATCTAGTGGGGAAGTGTCTCTGCCCATGACAGAGGTTGGGACTAGATGATCCGTAAGGTCCATTCCAGTCCCTAAATTCTATGATTCTATGATCTTGATAGAAGTAAAAGAACTGATTTGAGAAGGATATTTGCAATTTACTCAAGCCAGAATTATAGGGGTGAAATTGTGCATTGAGCACCTTCCCTTAGTATAAAAATAATGATACTATCTTAAAATATTTTTTATAAAACAGTTTGCACTGATGAAGGAAAATCTGCTAAATCATATTGTTTGTGTTCTAGTTCTTTAACCAGGTTCTGGTACTGGGAAAGTCTTCAGTAAGTGACTTATCAGAACATGTGTTTGACTTGATACAAGAGCTTTTTGCCATAGATCCTCATTTACTGCTGTCTGTCATGCCACAGCTTGAATTCAAGCTGAAGGTAGGTTACAGTGTAGCTTTGGACAAGCAATAAATTCCGTGTGGATATTAAGAGTGCAGAGCCATAGATTTAATACGTGTTCTACTGAAGGGGCAATAAATTCCGTGTGGATATTAAGAGTACAGAGCCATAGATTTAATACATGTTCTACTGAAGGGATAAAAAGTTTATCACTTAATTTTAAAGATGAATGTAATACTAAAGAAAGGATACTGGAAATTTGTATACAATGATGTGCTTTTTGTGCTTGCAAACATGTATTATGCACACAAAATATATATCATTATAGTGATTAATATATATAGTCTAATGCAAAAGTTCTGTACTTCATCTTTGGATTTCACCTGAAATTAAAAAAGTAATTAGGCTGAGGTTGGCTTATATCATTATAGTGATTAATATATATATAGTCTAATGCAAAAGTTATGTACTTAATCTTTGGATTTCACCTGAAATTAATAAAGTAATTAGGCTGAGGTTGGCTTAACTCATGAAATGCAAATGTGTCTGCCTCAGTATTGAATTGCAGAATTAAAAGAAAATGAAATAATGTTTAAATAATAAGAGGAAGTATTTCCAAATATTATCTCAAATTGTCATAATCAGTTAATAAGTCAGCTGACTTCTTCTGTATCCTTGATAATAGTTAATCTACCCTGATTTGGGAGTTTGTAGGTTTTTTAATTAAAAAGCTTTTTGTCTTGCATAAGATTGTAAGTGGACAAGAGAAATAATTTTATATATGTGCATGTAGGTTGTGGTGGCAACAAACAAAAGGAACCAAGAAAAAGGTCTTTGGTGAAATTATATATATCTTTTATTAGTGCACATCTACTTAGAACATCTTAATTGATGTCATTTTCATGCATATGAAATAGTCTTAAAGAATACTTCAAAATAAAAATGTCACTGCTTGTTGAAATTGTAAAGGATGTATGTTATTCAGACTTCTGTGTTGGTTTTTATTCCTGAAAGAGAAGGAATTTTCAAAGCACTGCCATCTATTCAGTGTCTGTAATGTGTTAACTTAATAGGTATTTGTGTATTTTCACTCATAGTAATCTAATATTCTAATTAGGCTAAGGATTATCAGGAATTATTTCAAACTCAGTTTTTAATCTAATGCTTACAAAAACAGAAAAGGAAGGCAGAAGTTCTTACTAAGGTATTCTGGATGGTGCTTTACAGTTCCTTGCTCATGTTTTGATTTTTAGAGCAATGATGGAGAAGAACGTTTGGCTGTTGTTCGTCTTCTGGCTAAACTCTTTGGCTCCAAAGATTCTGATCTGGCCACACAAAATCGACCTCTTTGGCAGTGCTTTCTTGGGCGGTAAGAGAAAGGGGATAGAACTGAATTTCTGTTGGCTTTGTTCTGAATTTTCTTACAGCATTGCATTTTTCAGTTTGTTTTTAGAGGATGTGACCATTTGTTTTTGAACAAGTTGCTTTGTTAAATCTTCAAAGCAGAGAATTGCAGACAGTTAGGTTTTAGCATGAGGAAACCTGAAGGAGTTCTGCTGTATTGCTGTCAGCTCTGGGCAGATAGGCTGGAGAGACAGCACACAACAGAAATTAAACAATAGCTATTCCAGCATTGCTTAAAATTTGATGCTGTTCAGATATATCTGCAGTTATATCTGTTTGGCTTGGCATTTACCTTTCTGAGTGAGGAGATATTTCCTTTTAAGTAAATATAGAAGTTTATGATTTCTTAAAAAATAAATTTTTTCAAGCAGTGTTTGTTCCATGACAGTTCATATTTTTATATTTCTGTGTGTGTGCACACTGGCACATACCTGATTTGACAGTGTATGGAGAATTATGTTTAAAAGTCACTGGACAAAATCCATTAGTTCATCATTTTATCCACATGCAGTGTATTCAGCCTTTAATTTTAGTTCTGACTTAACTTTCACAAGAAGTAGCAAAAATTCATATGAGGTGCCTTATGGAGATAAATTCAAAACATTTATATTCTATTATTTTGCCTTATAAAAGTACTCTGATAGTTAATGGAATAGATATCAACACATGTTACTACGTAGAGAATAATCTTGATTTGCAAGGCTAATTAAAAATTAACATTTGTCATCTTCTATCCCTCAAGGTTCAATGATATCCATGTCCCTGTGAGATTAGAGAGTGTGAAATTCGCCAGTCATTGTTTAATGAACCATCCAGACTTAGCAAAAGACCTCACTGGTGAGATGCTCATACAGGGGTTTAGAATAATCTGTGAAACAAGCAAGGAAGTGTATAATTATTTTTGTAACATGTATCAAGTCTGATGCTTGATGGAAGAGCCAACTACCGAGCAATTGATTTCTGCTAAAGTGCTAGTTATTAGAAAGAGAGGAGTGTGTGGACTTTGCAGTGAGCCTTTAAGAAGCTACTCACTGCAGAATGAATGTAAAAGAAATTTCAGATTCTAAAAACTTTTGGCATGTCAAAGCAAATACTGGTGCAACATCTTGATCTGTTTGAAAAAAACAGTCTCTGTGTTCCTAGTACTCTCTTCCACTGAGTTCAGAAAATGCCGTTTTGCTGATCTAAACTTTGAAGTTTCTTCCTTCACTTCAGCATCATTTTAAGTATGAACAGGATTTCAGGCTTAACTGAAAATCCTGTTCTTTTTTGATGCGAGCTGTCCTACAGCAGTTGTCAGTATTTTTTCATGTATTATTTACCTTTTTGACTCTCTGGGAATGAGTTTCTGCTCCTTTATTTTCAATATGTTCTAATCAGCTTTGTTTCACTTCATTGCTTGTTGCAGTGGAGGTTAACATGAAAGTGATTCACTTCTGTATTCTTTTGGCATTTACAGTTATCTAATTGCTTTATATTTCACATAGAATACATTAGAACAGAGGTTTCCTGTGGGTAGCTGTGTTTTATAGATTATATGGTCGTGACGTGACTGACATTTGTTCTAACACTTAATAATTTGGAATACATCACCCCTACATAAAAGAGCCAAACTTTCCCTTGTTTTTGATCATAACAGAGTATCTGAAGGTGAGATCACACGATCCTGAAGAAGCCATTCGACATGATGTTATTGTTACAATTATTACTGCAGGCAAGAGGGATCTCTCTCTAGTCAATGACCAACTGCTTGGCTTTGTAAGGGAGAGAACGCTAGACAAACGGGTAAGTTAAATGCTGTATTTTCAGGAATTACCTGCTTCTAATATACTTCAGTAAAACAAAAAACCCCCAAAGCTACAGAATCAGAGAACCTTAAGAGCTGACTTGTAACAAGAATGCTGCAGGGGAAGAATAATTTTCTTACAAAAGCTTCTTAATGTAGGTTCCATGTTATGGTGGCATCAGTCAAGTGTTGTCAAGCAAATAGGATCATTTGCTTGTGAGAAACACAGTCATATTTTAAGATCCTAAGAATTGTCACACATGTGTAGGCCATAGGTCCCTATAGCCCATTGTAATTCTCATAGTGGTCAGTTTTGACTGCCAGCAATTTGTGATTTAAGGATTTCTTAAGTCTGCTTGATCACATTCATCATAGCTTTGGAACATTATTCCATGTATGTATCAAGTTGTTTCATTAACTTATTTGTACTTTATAAGCATCAGTAAATACAAGTTTAATGCACATTTGGAAAACTAACTTCACTTGTTTGTTTTTAAACTTGTCTGATAATTTCACTGGGTATCTCATAGTTTTTGCATTATGTAAAATAATAAATATTCTTTGACCCACTTATGATTAATAAATATGTATACCATATCTTCTCTAGTTCTTTGCTTTCCAGTCTAAAGAATCATCTGATTAAATTCCACACAAATTGATTATTGCATACTTCTAGTCATTCTTGTCTGGATGTGGCCAGACTTGGCATTCACAGTGTGCACAGTGTGGTGTACATGCTTTAGGATAACTTGCTTTGCTTATTCTTAAACATTCTGGCTTTTTATGCTGTTTCTGAGCACTGAGCTGGCAATTCTGAGAAACATCCATGTTGTCTTTCTTGCATAATTTTAGATGATCTATTGCCACTGTACAAGCAGAGTTAATGCTGGTGGGAAAGCCTGGCCTTAATCTGAATTTCTTCCATTTCATATTGTACTGATTTAGTAGTGTGATATTTTTCTCCAATTCTTCATTATAATGTTAGATCTGACTGCTTCAGTGAATTTTATGCACACTGTTAGGTTCAATTTCTAATAATTTTTCATATGTTCAGTGTCAGATTTCTTTCTGATTCTGTCTACAGGTTCCCTTTGTTCCCTTCATTGTGAAAATTGATCATGGATTTCCACTCATTGTCCCCTATGTTTTAGTTAATAATTAATTTGTAACAGGATTTTAAGATCCTCTGATGTAAGACTTGGTTGGAAGATTTTTTGGGATCCTAATGCATTTTACTGATGTACTTCTGGACCTGCTAAAAGTTATTTTTTCTTAGACAAAACTTCCCATTATGTAAAGTGCAATGACTCATTTCCATAACTTATTTTTCAGTAGTGTTAGCTCTCTGTTGTTGGTGGTGTTCCCATTCCCAATCAGATATTCTGATGAGTGGCACGTTGTTCCTCTTGGGGTCCTTTGGTTTCCCTCACATTTGTTGTCTTCAATATGTTCATTGATCGACTGCAATAACAGAATAATTAGTATTTGGTATAAGATTTTGAAATTCCCATAGAAGTCATGGATGGCATAGCTCTTGGTCTTTATTTTGTTACTGCTCATTTTAGTAATTTTTTAAAATGCCTTCTAATGACACAGTAGGAAACCTCTTGAGACCTGACTCCTGGGATAAGTCTTGTCTGTCTTTTGGCTCTACAGAAGAAAGGATCTGGAAGGCTTCCTGCTTCTGGAAGCTTTGGTGAAGAGGTTTAATTAGTGTGCTTTTAATTGTTCAGATTTGAAACTTTTTCACATGCTTCATCAAGGATTTACTTTCAACTTGCCAGAGCTTATACTCTTTCCTGTGTACACTTTTATGGATGTGACTCCATGCTCTTTGGAGAGTGATGTTTAATATCTCTGTGCTGTGTAACTGTGTTGATTATTATTTTTTTTTTGGTTGTTGTTCTCTTTTGATAGGGGACATCCTTTCTATAGCCTATGACATTCTAGCTAGTTGCTTCAATTCCTTTAAAATTATTTTGTCTTTTTTTTTGTTCCCCCTTTTAAATGAGAATATTACTATAATGGATTTGGAAAACAGCACGTCATCTTTGCACAGAGAAATACTGATTTTGAGTATGTTCATTATGATAAAGCAGCTCTGCAGTTAGTTGTACCTGCAGCTTGACCTTCCATGTTTCTCAGGAGTGATTAAGATCACCTTCCTTCTTTTTCAGTCACTAAACAAATACGTCCAAAAAGTCATTTATGAGATCTAAAAACTTCAGTCACTAAACAAATACGTCCAAAAAGTCTTTTATGAGATCTAAAAACTTTGAGTGTAACCATCACTTCCCACTGGGACTTCCACCCAGTGAGAATGGGACATTTGTTACTGTGTCTTCTGCATGATGTCTGTTCTCCTTTAGCACATTGCAGTCAGTTTCCCAGATGCAGTACTAATTTCTGCAGAGCTAGGTCTTTTCAGTCCACATAGCTTTAAATCAGTGTCGTGGTACATAATGTTCCTAATATATTTGAGTAAGTGATTTCACACCAGTCATAGGTTTGATGATCTATTTCATTTCAAGGTTAGGTGTTTTTTCAGGCAATCATCAGTGAAGAATCACTTAATCCTAGCGTGATGTTTCTCTTACAATAATCTCTGGAGAGAGCTTTAATGAAAATATATCCTGAGGAGAAATTAAAATTGAGCATTGGCTAGAAATGACTAAAACAAATACTTAGCATTTGACGTAGATCTTAACAATATAATATGTCTTTGTAGATATAATTAGTGTTGTACAATGAAGATCAAGGACTCATAAACTTTCGGCTCTTTTTTTTTTTTTTTATTTTTATGATTTAATCTATCCATGTAACTGTCTTTTGATTTTCTGTGTAGGGTTTTCTCAGTTCCTGGTAGAGTGCATTATACCTGTTTTAGTTATTCTTTTGCCTTAAAAGAACTATATTGTCTTCTGCTGCCTGCATTTACCCTTTGTAGCCAGATTTCTATTGGAGAAACCTTCTACAAACTCCTAGGTGATCATTCATCAGTTTGACTTCATCTAACTCTTTAGGCCTGCAGTCATCTGTCAAATGAGTGTAGCTTTTACTGTGAGAAGAATACTTGTCCAACACGCTGAAGTAAAGTGGTGATTGTTTACACACTGACCTGTCATTTCAATTCTGCCTTTTGTCTGTATAAAACACTGAAAGTCTAAGTCATGCTTACTGGTATACTATTTAAGTGATTTGATTTTTCTCCCAACCATATTCTAATTGGCACAATATTAGTAAAGACAGCCTAAGGACTTTTCTAGGATAAAAGGTTTTGACTAAAAACAGATCTTTAAGAAACATCCTTAGCTGACTCTGTATGGGCATTTGTACAATGATAGCAGCAAAAAAAAATCCCAAACAAACCCCACCACCACCATCTGCAGTTTTCAAATCCACTTTTATTGGTCCAGATCGAAGAATAACTCTGGGAACAGGTGCTTCCTAAAAATTGCAATCCAGTATTTGATAATAATTATTCTGAGGAATATTCCATTGGAGGACTGTCACAAGGGTCTTTGCAGTGTCTTCACTTTTCAGAATGATTAGTTTCAGGAGACATTCTGAAAATGCTCAGGTACTTTTCCTTTATACTGGAGCAACCTTAAGAACCTGAGAAGGTAAGAGGAGAGTTTTGGCAGCTGACTTCCATTCCTGTTTCTCCTTTATGGTCTACAGACTTAGGCCCTTCAGATTGAAGTCAAAAAGTATGGAGAGGAGCCATAGGAACAGATTCTTGTTTTTCTTCACTGCTATAATACAGTGTGAGGCATGGAAAGAAGGAAGACTGCCTGTCTCTGGATAGATAAGCCTTCCAAATCCTGGTTCAAGGGGGCACTTACTCAGTCATACATGTTAAGCTGTGCTTAACGTTTTTCTGCTGGCTAGCTCCCAGATTTTCTTTGCTCAGCACAGAGGAGTAGTGGATTCCTCTGTACTGACAATACTTAATCTGCATAGTACAGGGAAGAGACTCCTTATGTAGGCTTTGCAAATTTTAATTTAGAGGCTCTAAACAGCATTTTTCAGCTTTTGAAGTGTCTAAATATAGGAGATAAAGTGGCTGTTTTGTCTTTCATGCTTTTCCATGTTTCCTGCATTTTGTGTATGTTTGATATTTATTTACCAAAACCACTTCCCCACCTTCTTTTCATTTCTTTCCCCTCAAGTGGCGAGTAAGAAAAGAAGCTATGATGGGTCTTGCCCAGCTATACAAGAAGTACTGTCTCCATGCTGAGGCTGGAAAAGATGCTGCAGAGAAAGTGAGCTGGATAAAGGATAAACTTTTGCACATATATTATCAAAATAGCATTGATGACAAGTGAGTCAACCTAAGCCTTCCTAATTTTAATTGCGTGGTGATAAGAGACACCCTGAAAATCTGTGCTTATCTTGGGAGAGCTGTTATATATCATTCTGTATTTGTGGGTTTATGTATGATGTATTTAATGATCATTAAGACATGTAGTTATATATTCAGGGTGGTTGCATTATCTCTTCGTGGATTTATTTTATTTACTGATGGAACTTGATCTGTGACAGGACGAGATTTTCATTAACTACTATGTAGAAAAAAATTGCTTTTACTGTGCCCAGTTCTTGTCTGCCTTACAGCATGTTAAAAGTCATGACCTGTGAGTGTTGTGCATGCACAGACCTCTCATTCTGGTATGCTGTGGCGAAATGGGCCTTTAAGTGGAAAAAAAGCTGAAAACATACGAGGGGTGCTTCCACTATTATCTTCCCTGGTTTGTCACTCAGACCTTTTAACTTTTGAAATACCACTTTGGTGTTGACAAAAGTATTTTGGCCAAGGATTTGGAAGAGAGTTTTCAACTGTCACTATAAATTGTCTTTCACAAGGAGAGCCACATTTTGAGATCATGCAAAGGTAGAATTTTAGCCTCGATTTTTTAATACAGCAGACACAAAAATTTCTTTGTAGTGTTTCTTAGCACCTTGTTTATACAGTCTGCTACCTCAGTGTGTTTTGTTATCTTGGTGACTAGTCTGAATGGGATAATAGCCTCCTTCAATTGCCAGGTATGATAGTGAATTTTTAACTACTGCAGGGGTGAAAGCTCTTGCTTTGTTCATCTGGCCAATGGTAAGTGGGCCAGAGTTACATATTTGATTAGCTGCCACCTTTTTTTTTAATTAAAAAAAACCCCAGAAGAAATGCATGGTTATCAGATGGAACACGCAGAAGTCACACTTGAAAGTCTGCTGAGATGGAAGTATCAAATAATGAAAAATCAGGAAATCTTCATATAATTTATACAAAGCTAATTCAGCGTATGTGTGTGCATAAAAATATACTTTAATTTGCATTGAGAGGTTTGTGCTTTTTCTAGCATGTTCATGTCCTGCTGTCAGTGCACAGGTTTGATAGTGAGCAGGGAATGAATCAAAGTTACATAGTGAATGGGGCAGATGTTTTCTGTATTCCTGCCCACGGAAAATGCAAAACACTGACGGAAATGAGGCAAGGAATTTTAACCAAAGAGTGTGTCATCAAAGCTGAGTTCCTTTCTCTGACGTGATTTCTTCTGAAAGTCTGATTAAGCTATTGAAACTAGTCTTTTCATGAGTAGGCATGAATTGTGTGCTGTTTGTTTTCTGGGTATCCACACTGAAAGATTGGTGGCTTGACTTTTAGTGTTCCTCTAGTTTAGTTTGGTACCCTGAATTTTAATTCAGATTCTACTAGTTTTTCAGGCTGACAATTAACTTCTTGCTCATTGGTACCCTGAATTTTAATTCAGATTCTATTAGTTTTTCAGGCTGGCAATTAACTTCTTGCTCATGCACACCATTGGGTTGATTTCCTGATCTCAGTGGAGGGAGAAATATATTTCAGTGTTACTGTTTCCTGATCTCAGTGGAGGGAGAAATACATTTCAGTGTTACCATTGGTGGAATTTTAAAGTTTTTGCACTTGAAGAGCTGTAGAAATGCTATCCTCTTTTAAGCCAGAGTCTGTCCTGTCCTTTAAACACATCAGCATAGGTCAACATTAGCTGACTCTGGCCTATTTTCCTTCCATAATGAGGGAAAAGAAGATAAAAAGCAGCAGTGAATGGCTCTGGTTTCAGTGATTTCTGATATTTCTTGCTTTTTCAGCTTGTCTGAGAGACAGTGGAGGGAGAAATACATTTCAGTGTTACCATTGGTGGAATTTTAAAGTTTTTGCACTTGAAGAGCTGTAGAAATGCTATCCTCTTTTAAGCAAGAGTGTGTCATGTCCTTTAAACACATCAGCATAGGTCAACATTAGCTGACTCTGGCCTATTTTCCTTCCATAATGAGGGAAAAGAGGATAAAAAGCAGCAGTGAATGGCTCTGGTTTCAGTGATTTCTGATATTTCTTGCTTTTTCAGCTTGTCTGAGAGATATCACCACTTTTGGACATGTACTATTTTTCTTATTCTACAGATTGCTGGTAGAGAAAATCTTTGCTCAGTATCTCGTTCCACACAATTTGGAAACAGAGGAGAGAATGAAGTGTTTATACTATTTGTATGCTAGCTTGGATCCAAATGCTGTCAAGTGAGTATAGTTTGTATTCAGCAAATACTTACCTTCTCAGGTGTCTCTAACCTCTCTATCATATAATTTGTATTGCCAACATATAAGTAAAAGTATAAGTAATGGATGCTTAGCATTATTTGCAAGTAGTATTTCAAAACATTTGCCATTTATATACAAACTCTGCATTCCATAGACAGATCCCTTGATGTTTGAGATGAGTGGGTTTGTCCATTCCTTTCCAGCAAATGAGAACAATGCAGAGTTCAAAGTATGCATGTCATGGCTTCTAGATTTGCACTCTGTTAGGGACCATGATGAAGATATTCCTAACTGTATTCTGGTTGAGTGTGGCCTGTTTTTCATTTGGGTGGTTGTAAGACATACTGTGGCCATCCTGCATATGTGAAAATGTTCCAAGAAGAACGAGGGAGTTGATGTTCTGTAAAAATATAAGATCAATTCCACCTTGTTTGGAACAGTTATTTTTAATACTGTAGGGTTTGATTGTACCTAGCAGATGTTGCACTTGTAAGATAAAAACGCAGTCTTGGTTATTGGTACATCCAGCATGTTCTTGTCGTGAATGAATTGGTAACTTTTCTGGTTTTCCATTTCTGCAGAGCACTGAATGAGATGTGGAAGTGCCAGAACATGCTAAGGAGTCACGTACGAGAATTGCTGGATTTGCATAAGCAGCCCACTGTACGGTTTGGGAAATCCTTACACTTCATCCAGAGGACCCTTTTGACCAATTTCCTGGGGGGGTTAATTCTATATTATTCATTAATACTATATTATGTGCAGTGTGACTTCATTATTCTGTTGATTGCCACATGTAGACAACATTCCATTCTCATTGAGTAAAGTTGCTTTCAGTAATGCTTAAAGGTGTATAACCTCTTCATGCTGATTATTATTTTACATTACTGCTCAATAATTTTGGAAAAAAGTTGTAAAAATTTTCAGGGTTTTTTTTGCTTTTGGCAGGCTTTTTTTCTTTCTCAGTTTATAGCATATTTTGAGAATGGAATGTGTTGTAACATAAAACAATAATTTCTTTGTTAGAAAACACAAGGTTTTAACTAGAATTTAACGAGAGTTTTACTTATAAGCATATCTTCAAACCAGTAGAAATTTATATAAAAGGGCATTGCTTTGGAGTTTTGGTGTGGGCCTTGGGGGAATTGTTTATTTGGGAGGATTGGGGTTTTTTCCAACAATTGATTTTGATCTGTTATGCAAATTAGTGTATTTTTGCAGTTGTTTGATATCACAGGAAGATTTTCCCCCTTCTTCTGTGTCTAGTATCTGCTAATGATACTGTTACACTATTCTGGTATCTGTTCTTGAAACAAAACCATAAGATTCCAGAGTAGAAAGTAGTGCTGCAGAAGAGCTAACAGATCAGCTTAAAGGTGCAATTTATAAAGGAGATATTGCTGATTTGTTTGTTTGTTTTTGCTGTTGTCCTCAGTCAGAAGCAAACAGTGCTGCCATGTTTGGGAAGCTGATGACCATAGCAAGTAAGTGTTAATATCTTACCTAAACTGTTACTACAGCATTCCTGGAGACTATATTTCTGTGAATATTTGCATACTGAAGTGGCTAATTGATCTTATTTTAAATTGTGTTTAATCATACAGAAAACCTTCCAGATCCTGGAAAAGCACAAGATTTTGTGAAGAAATTCAATCAGGTTCTGGGTGATGATGAGAAACTTCGGTCGCAGCTTGAACTGTTAATTAGCCCAACATGTTCTTGTAAACAGGCAGATGTCTGTGTGGTAAGGAAATGGAAAAGCAAACTTTTATACCTTCAGTATTTGTGATTAAAATTGTTACTTGGAATTAATGGTCTCTTTTTGTCCTAAACATGGGTTTTGCATGTTTCCATTTTTCATAAAATTCCTTTTTGGTTAACCTGTAGAGATTATGGAAAAGATCATTTATGATCATTATCTTGCTTCCTAAGGAAACATTAGCTTTATTCCTTCCTGAGATTATCACGCATAAAATCCAAAAGACTAATTTATTACTTTGAAATGCTCTTATTTCCATTGTGTTTTTTTGTGGTAGGGTTCCTAAACTGTCTTCTCACACTGGTGCAACTTCTGAGTACCAACAAGCCAAATGTTACACTATCTGCATGTTAATTTATTTTTCATCTTAGACTGTTCCTTTGAGATCAGTTTTTCTCATCTTATTTAACCTTTTCAATGAAAATACACACCTTAATATTAAATTGGACTTTTCCAGATTCTGCCAACCAGCATGTATTTCTTTTTTGTTGTTGTCCCAAAGTAAAGTAAACTCTTAACTAGAAACCTATTTAAATAGTTCGGTAAAGTATACCTGCTTCCAATATAAGATGATAAAGATTTGGAGATAACAACCCCCCTTAAAATATGTGTCACTGATTGTATAGACAACCTCTGTGGTAAAATGAAGGGACTATAAGATGTGTAAGAAGTAACAAAAAGAAAAATTACACTCATTTTACTGTCTGACATTCTTGCAGAGGGAGATAGCCCGGAAACTTGCAAATCCTAAGCAGCCAACAAATCCTTTTCTGGAAATGGTCAAATTTCTTTTGGAAAGAATTGCCCCTGTACATATTGACTCAGAAGCCATTAGGTAAGTTTGAAAGATCATCAACAATTGACTCATGAATGATCGTAAAGATGATGGGAATGAAAAAAATTTGTAAAAATATTTTATTGGGTTTTAGATTAGTCTATCCTAGCACTAAATGTCCTTTGTTTTTCATTTTTAGAAAAAATTAAATTATGTAGATGTATTCTTCTCCAGCAAACAGAGGGATGCAACTGTTTTGGTTTCAGTGCTGTCTGCAAATGATTTAAAAAATCAAGTTGTTCACAATGAAACTGCTCTTTGTGGGGCTTCAGGTGAAAACCATGAGCAGAACTTTCACACAGTTAACTGCAACACAGTCTTCCACATAGCATGTGAATTAATTAGCTTTTGTGGAATTGTGTAAGAGAATGTTTTGATTTCTTTTGAGACTTGTCTGGCAACCTAATTACATTCTGAAACTCATGCAACTGTGTGTTGGTCTAATGCCACCTGCATGGTGGGGGTTTTTTTCTGTTGGATTTTTTTTTGAGGGGGAGGGCTTGGAATTTTTTCCTACAGAATTAATTTATCAGAAAGTGAAATCAGAATGAAAAGGAATAATGGAATAACTTAAATAAAAATAACAAAAACCAAACAGCAACACCCCAAAGCACTATTGCCTTCCCTTAATTTATTGTTAAAACCAAGTAATCTTGCATGTCTCCAACCTTTAAGGTTGTACATTGTCATGTTTGTTTTCTTTTTGTGTCTCTTATTTCAGTGCACTAGTAAAACTGATGAATAAATCCATAGAGGGGACAGCTGATGATGAAGAGGAGGGTGTAAGTCCTGATACTGCTATTCGTGCAGGGCTTGAACTTCTCAAGGTAATGTACATAAATGCAGGTTGAATTTATAATGGAAGGGACAAAAGTGGTATGACTAATGAAATAATGTTAGCATGGTTTTAATGGTTATGGTTTAGGTAATTACTTTTTTAATGTATGAAGCTATTTGGTTATTAATACTCACTTGAAAACCAGAATAATGCAAGAGATGGTTTATTGGAAGAAGCATGTTTTCCAAAGGGTGACAAGAGTTGAAATGTGCATGTTAAAGCAGAAATTGGTTTCTGCTTAGGGCAGTCATATGGAAAAAGGTGCAGAGGTAAAGTGAGAGGAAGAGAAATGGGGAAACTGGGAGAGGCACCTTCTTTGAGGCCTATATGACACTGGAAGGAAATCAAGCAGTGAGCTCAAGAGCCAAGTTGCGTAGAGGAAAAATAGGAGCTGAGAAGTGGCAGGGGGAGAAAGAAGGAATTGAAATACCTGGAAAACATCTGTGATGGATTTGTACCTTCAGTAATGAGACTATTTTGAATGTTACAAAGGGGAGGATAAAACACAGGAGGGAATGGAGGGGAAGGTTACATAATTGAAGTGAGACATTTCAAACGTGTGACTGAACGAGGTGGAGTTTTTGGAAACATGTGACACCAAATTTGGGAATGGCAGCCATGGTAGAAATAGTAATACAGAAGTATGCAAAGAAGTATTGTTTGTCTGCAAATGTTGCTTGGAAAAGAAATCTGCCAAGGTTGAAGACTTCGTTGCTGTGACATGGAGAATGTTATTTCACACCTTAATACTCATGCAAGTAGGCAACTCTGATCAGAGAAACCAAGCTAAGATAAACCCTAAGAATACACAAAATAGATGCATCATTTCTTTGTTCTCCCTGCCTTATGTTACCTGAATTTTACTATGCTTAATACAGTTTTGCTTTGCGATAACCTTTTGTTCTCTCTTGTCCTGCCTTGAATTTCTGCATACTTATTGATATTTCTCCTCTTTAACAGAATGTGTTATATTTCATTAGCTTTTGATTAAAAGGACAGTAGCTCATGTTTTGTTAATCGGTATCTTGGTTTCTTTTCTGCTCAGAGACTATAGATTCTGGAGAAATTAAAATTTCAGTTCACTTAAATTGCATTGAAGCATTCTTAAGTAGATTGGAATCTATAAACAATCTTGAATAAGTGTTCATTTTAAGATGTATATTTATATATTCAAGCACTCTAGTATCTTATAAACTATTTGGAGGAGAGGAGGACCTGAAGAACCAAGCATAGATGAATTTACTTGGAAATTTGCATTCTCCAAAATGCAGTTAGTGAATGTAATAATTTCACATGAGCATGTAACAGCTATTTATGTTGCTGGCAATGCTCATACTTATAAACAGCCTTCATTTTGTTTTTCTGATAATTCATCTCTCTTGAGTAAATATACCTTTGTTTTAATGTGTATCTGCAGGTTCTGTCCTTTACACATCCTACCTCGTTCCACTCTGCAGAGACCTATGAGTCTCTGCTGCAGTGCCTCAGGATGGAAGATGACAAGGTAGCTGAGGCAGCCATACAGATCTTTAGAAACACGGGTCACAAAATAGAAACAGACTTGCCACAGATAAGATCGTGAGTATTCCTTTACCTGCTGCTTCTCATATCTGGAATTTTGCCTCTTGATAGTTTTTTTTTAATATGTTGCCCCTGAAATTACTTTTTAGCCTTTTAAGTATGAGCAACTTCTCTTCCATCATTTTGTTTCCATTCAGTATCTTTCTGTCTCTCCATTTTTACATTTTGTTCTCGCAGTTTTTATGTATTGATTGAACATGTTAGGTACTTCTTAAAAATCTTCTTATAATAGACACATTAAAACCAGTGCATAGCAAGCTTTCCAGGTTACAAAATAAGCAACAGCAAAAATACAGCAAAGATCTAATTCCTTGGCATAATTTCTTCTCATATCTGTCCTTCACACAATTTTTATATCTTTGTAAGGAAGGCTGATATAAATTCTGATGGTTAACAGTTCTGTTTGTTACGAAAGAAGTTGGGAAACAAGATCCAAAAGCCAGCATGAATTTCTAACAAAGAATAATTGGCTGTCTGTAAGTTGTCATTATACAATTCCTGCTATGGCTGCTGATTAAAGCTGCATAATCTACTAGGTATTCACAGACTATTAAAAACCTTGTGGGTATCATCTAAAACCTTAAAATTAGCCTGTTATTAACTAACTTATCCAGATTATAAATGACAGGTTGCAAGTTCTCATATATTGAAATAGCATCTCTGATATTGCTATACTAAAGCACATACCAGTGGCACTGATAAGTTCTCAGTGAATTAAAGGTGCAACCTCAGTGATTCTTACAAATGTGGATCAGGGCACTGATAAGTTCTCAGTGAATTAAAAGTGCAACCTCAATGATTCTTACAAATGTGGATCAAATTTTGGGCAAAAGAAAAATATTACAAATTGATGTATGAGATGCCTTTTAAGACGTTTCTGGGGGTGAAGAGAAAGAATACCCAAGCAGTCCCCATTGTCAGTACAGTTCCCTCCCAGGATTTTAATGAAGACTCGCAGTCCCCATTGTCAGTACAGTTCCCTACCAGAATTTTAATGAAGACTGTGTATTGCTGGGCTGTATCATGTCCTCTCAGAGGAGTGGTATTGCTGACATTGCTTTTGACTTCATGCCTTAGGTGCAGGTATTGGTGGAGTGTAAGCTGTAAGTCTCAAATAACTTAAAAATACAACTGTCAGAGGTCTAGCCCTTGGCATGGTTTGCAGACAAGTCAGGTTAGCATTGTGAAAGTCAAAAGCCTTGTCAGTGTTTACACTGACACAAAGAAAAAGAGGTCTGAGGACAAGTAGGTGTTCCAGATTTCATATGTTGAGAAATATTTATCATAAATGAAAGATTTGATCTAATCATCAACATAGTTTGTTTCAAGTGACCTGTTCAGGGTTTTTTTGACTGCTTCTGTGAGCAGGCTGCTTGCTCTCCTTGTTCACCAGCACTAGCCCAAGTTCTTCCTTGTGTCGAAATAGAATAGGTTTGTACAGCAGCTCATGGACAAGGACTGCCTTATGACTCTGGAGTCCAATGGAAGCATTGGCCACTTGTAAAGGTGCATGTCAACACGTGAGGTTTCACCTTCTGCAGGTTTCTGTCAGTTGGTTTGTAACTGCAGCACTGAGGCTTGGCAAAGATCCTCTAATGAATATGTACTCACACCATGAAAATTGTAGGTTAGGCATTGAAGCTTATTTTAACTGTAGGTTTTACTGAATTCTTTGTTGTTTTGGTTCTTAATCCAATTTTTGGGACCTTAGCAGGTTTGCAAAGAGGTAGTCTCCTGCTTGAGGATACTGTTAACATGTTCCTGGAGGTTTTTTGGTTTTGGATTTTGTGTGGGTTTTGAGGAGAATGTTTGAGGGTTGATTCTTTGAACCATGCGAGCTGCTCTTTCACCTCTTGTTGTTGATTGTGGTTGTGTAGAATGTGTCAGTGAATGCTGGCCACTAAATAATCCATGTACTGAATGCTGTCTTGTTACAGGGCTTTTTCAGAAGGCAGGGAATTGTTATTTTAGGTGTTTGTGTGTCAGACTCTTTCTAGGCAGTTTTGGTTTTCCGTGTCAGTTGCTGGGTGAGTTGCTGGTAAACCTCAGCAGTGTCTCAGCTGATAACCTCTGAGGAGACAGGCCTGCCATCCAGCATTTGCTAGGGAGTGAAGCTGAACAGTCTGAACAACCTGCACCTGGTCTCTGGAGTGGATTCTGTGCTGCTCTTTGGTTTGGTGGCCTCTGATGAGCAGAGACATTTCAGGGGATTCAAATGCAAAAGCTCATAAGGAAGCAGTTATTTGCTTGGGTACTGTGTTTAAAGACCAGAGTTACAACGTTAAAGGCCTGTAAACACACTGATGTTTAATGACATTATTCCTGGCTTTCACAGATTTTCTTCAACCCAGTTTCTTCCAGGCTTGGATAACAAGCCCAGGACCTTACCCTAGCTGAATGTGTCAGGTCCCCCCCACTCAATATTTGGCCACCTAAACAGGCTTATTTAGATCATTTTCTTTCATGTTTGATTATTTTTCCTGTGGGCTATTTTCTGCTTGTGTGTACAGTCAGATCTTCAACAAGTATTGCTAAATAGAATTCCATCTTGCATTTATTATATGGCTGTGATTTTTCCTGAACAGATTTCAAAGGAATGCTTGATTTATAAGACAGTGAGGATAGATTTGTATATGTGAAGATACTTATTTTTTTTATAAATTGCAAATTGCATTTTGAAGTATTCTGTTTAATGTTCACAGAACACTAATTCCAATTTTGCATCAGAAAGCAAAGAGAGGCACTCCTCATCAGGCAAAACAAGCTGTTCACTGTATACATGCCATATTTTCAAATAAAGAAGTGCAACTTGCACAGATCTTTGAGGTATGTCTTACTTTTTTGTTTTCAAGATTTGTTTCTGTTGTTAATTGATACTAGTAATTAACATTCATTCCTAGTGTTTATTAGATAACAGTTTATGAGGTCAGGAAGGCTACAAGTGCGTGGTAGTTGAGATAAGTCATTAATTTTACAAGAGCAAGTTATTCATGTTTGTGTCTATAAGTTATGATTTTGTAATGTTCTGGTGCCCTGTCCACATGGGAGAAGTTTGGGGAAGGTAAGCTAAATATCCTGGAATGAGCCACAGCAAATCTATGGGGACACATTTAGCAGATACTAAATGAGAGGTAACATTCTCTACTTTCCAGCTGTATTAAATTACTGTGCTTTAAGGTCTTTGCACATACAGCCTTTCCTCACTGAGGAAGTTGGTGCAGAACAAGTTGACTGTAAGCTCAGATATTAGCTTGCAGCTTGCTTAGACAAGTTGTAAAGCAAAAAGTCATCTTATATGGAGCAGAGAGGTTATTACTTTTCACTGTAGTCTCTTAAATAACAACATTATTAGCCTGCAATTGTAAAATTCCTTAGGTTCTTAATCTTGGCTGTCTTTGAGCCTATGCATAATTCAGAAGTGTGAAAAGCTTTGAATTAAGCTTGCAGAGTTTGATCTCTGCTTAGACTTCTGTGAGAGTTCATGTTCCTTCCCTAATCCCAGAATCTGATGCGATGGTGTGGGGTGATACCACAGCATGGAATTGTCTCAGTGACTCTTACCTGGAAGGGAAATGTCCCTGGTGGATTCTAAGGGTTTTTTGCTGCTGTTTTCTGCCTTTGGCAGTGATCATCAGTTTTTCACAGCTCCTGAACAGAATTGAGTCAGGTTTTTTTCACATGACTCCCAGGTTTGAATGTGTTTCACAGTTGAAACAGGAAGAGAATAGAGAATTTTTTTTGCTCTTACCTCATGTGAGATTTTTGGTTAGTCTGTTGATTAGGAAATCGTATTCTTCCTCAGTTTTGATTTGCTAACTTTCTTAATTCTTCTGGAAAAAATGTGAAACTCATCAGCAATCTAGCAGGAACATAAATGATCTTTAGACATACTCGCATACGTAGGTAAAGATGAATTTTTAATTTAGTTTTTCTTCTTTTTCCTTCCTCAGCCTCTTAGTAGAAGTTTGAATGCTGATGTACCAGAACAACTTATAACTCCCTTGGTCTCTTTGGGCCATATTTCTATGTTGGCTCCAGACCAGTTTGCTTCTCCAATGAAATCTGTTGTTGCAAATTTCATTGTGAAAGATCTCCTAATGAATGACAGGGTAAGATTTGCTTTTTTTGGTAAGTGCTTACTGTGCTGTTTGCCTGTTACTAAGTCCGTGAGGAATAGAGATTTTTGTTAAATGAGTCAATAAAGTAATAGTCTATAAATGGCTAGTGCAGTGATAATTGCATTATAAAATATCATCTTGTGAAAGAAAGCCTAGTCTGTGACTTCTTTCCACTTTTACCTTTGCATTTTTTGTATGGGTTGGACCAGTTCGTAAACTTACATGAATGTCTATAGTCAACAGGTGAGAAAAATGGAAAATTGTGGTCTCCAGATGAAGAAGTCTCTCCAGAAGTACTAGCAAAGGTGAGTGATCAGCTGTCAGTAATAAGATGTATATCTGCAGTAAAAAAGTAACTTTTTCCAAGTTTTGCTGTAGGTAGTGATGGAATAGAGAGTAATTAGTCTCATTACAATATGTGTTGTTTTTGTGGATTATACACAGTTATAGAACTGCTGGAAAACACACATTTTGTTTGTCACTAATATTAATTATGCTCATTGTGGAGAAAATGAGCAGATTCAAAAGTCGTAGTTTTCCTTACAAGAAAGGTAACTTGACTTTACTGACTTGTAAACAGATTTGAAATAAATTGAGATCCTGATGAATGTGAGTCTAATTATGGCCATTTCTAGAAACGTTTATGTAGTGGCTCTTATTTTTAATCATGTAGCAAGAATCCTGCATCCTCTAGATGGAAGTATGTGAAAACCCTGAACCATAGCTGAAATGTCCTGAGGTCACAGACTGCCTCTTCCTCCTTACTCTCTGAATATTCACTGCTGAATTCTGTCCCTTGTAAAATGCATCAGCTCTGACAAACTGGAGTCATGGAAATTGCCATTTGACAGCAGTAGGTTTTAATGCATTCTCAGCTTTGGGCAGTAAGTTTGTTGTTGATTTGTTTGTGTTTGATAGGTGCAAGCAATTAAACTTCTGGTGCGCTGGTTGTTGGGGATGAAGAACAACCAGTCAAAATCTGCAAACTCCACACTCCGGTTGTTATCAGCGATGCTCGTCAGCGAAGGAGACTTGACAGAACAGAAGCGAATCAGGTCAGATCTTGTTCTTTTTGGGCTTCCAAATTTCAAAGAATATTGGTACTTTTGGAGTGCTTTTGGATTGTTCAAGTCAGCACCACATTGTCTAATGGTGTGATGGAAAACAGATCTGATCAGAGCTTTAATATTAGGAGTGAAATGGAAGTATAAAAATATGCTTGATACTTGCTGTTTTTTGTAATATACTAATAATTGAACTCAGAACCCTGTAAGTGTCTTGATATTAAAATGGTCTAGAGAGTAAAATACCTGCAGGAATGTCTTTGAAAACAATTGGTAAGATTTAACATGCTTGGGAGTTGGTGATCTTGGGTGGAGCTTCTTCATTCCAACCACGAGGTAACTTTGCACCTCATCTTTCTTCTGAGGGTAAAGGAAGGAAGGAGAAAATCTGTTGGAAAAGTGTTACTTTCATTTAGACAGTGATAGGAAAACAAGAAACTTGACTCCTCTCATTTCACTATTTTACTGCAATTAGGGTTTTATTTGCAGGGAAAGTCGAACACCTTATTTTCACAAATTAAGTGTTAATTAAGCTTGACAGGGAAAAGCCTTAATTGCTCATTGATCTCAGAAAAAGAAGAAATTGTGCCATGTAGGCAATTTAAGGATAGTCGTGGTGAGTTGTGGTTTGTTCTTTTTCTTTTTCTCATGTTTGTATAGTAAATCAGATATGTCTCGACTGCGATTAGCTGCTGGTAGTGCAATAATGAAGCTTGCACAGGAACCCTGTTACCATGAAATAATTACACCAGAACAGTTCCAGCTCTGTGCACTTGTCATTAATGTAAGTAACTGCATTTGAGTTGAAGTGACTCTTGAGTTCAGAGTTCTTATGTCTGAGCTTTTGTAGTGGCTGCACTGAGTATGTTCTGTTCCTCACTGCAGCTTTCAAGAGTTACTGAAGTTTCAGATATTTTTTGTGCTGCACCTGTTGTGTTGCGTGTTTTTAAAATGCCCCCTTATAATTCCACCTTGAATGTGCCTTTCTTGTTGTTAAGACCAAGGTTTTGATGGTTGCACTTTTATATTTCGTGTTCCTGTAGGATGAGTGCTACCAAGTGAGGCAGATATTTGCCCAGAAACTGCATAAGGCGCTTGTGAAATTACTGCTCCCTTTGGAATATATGGCAATCTTTGCTTTGTGTGCCAAAGACCCTGTGAAGGAGAGAAGAGCACATGCCAGACAGTGCTTGCTCAAAAACATCAGCATACGAAGAGAATATATTAAGCAGAATCCTATGGCTAACGGTTAGTGTTTGTGTACAGTAGTCAAATACTAAACTGGAAGGAGTTAAGCAATTGGCCTTTGTAAAGAAACACTGGATAAGTTTAATTTGTTTTATCTTTATATTAGAGACATTCAAATCTGAATTTCCTTAGTTCAGCATTAGCATAAACCATCAAGTGTTTCTGTGTACGTTGCTAAGAATTATACACGTACAATAGAATGTTGTTATGGTTAGACTTGTTTCGCTGAAAAAAATAAAGTTTTGTTCTACAATATTTTAGGCTTTATGACCTGAAGCAAGACCAAGTAGTTTTGTAGTAGTAAAACTTGTTCATTTTTTTTTTTAATGATTCATTAGAAGTAAAATTTGTAGGAAGAAAATGCAAGTAAAGATTTTACTTGGATTTGTGGTACTTTGAAAAAGCTTTTCTCACAATGCCTGTGTATGTGTCTAATACAGAGGCAATTTTTTGTTGTTGTTGTTGTTACTGTAGAAAAATTGCTGTCCTTGCTGCCTGAATATGTGGTACCCTATATGATTCACTTACTGGCACATGATCCAGATTTCACAAAACCTCAGGATGTTGATCAACTTCGCGATGTCAAAGAGTAAGTGTCAAATGATTCCAGAATTGTTACGCTGACTTTTTTTTCTGTGCTTGGAAAAAATGATTAGGAAGAGGAAATCCTAGTTTTATGAACAGTGTCTTGTAAAACAATGATCTTGGAAACATGGAACACTTCTACCAAGGGAAGATGGTGTCAGTGACTGCTTAGCAACCTAAATTGGTGGCCTGGAGGTCATAGTGTAGTCTGCTGAATTAGTGAGTTATCTAGGCTTCTTTTACAGTAAGTAATGAATTTAGTCATGTTTTGTGCCTAGGAATATCTGTATAATTCCCCAACATGCTTAAAAGATGTCAAGTAACATCAGATCAAATATTTTGGAACTTATAAAATAGAGAGTTTCTGCAAGACTTGAAAACATAATGCCACTGATGCTGGGTCTGAGTCCTGCCTTACTGAAAACAATTTTTCCCCCTTCCTATGCAAACCTGCTACAATTCATTCTAAGTTTGCTGCTGATTTACTATTTGCCCTATACATCAGCCTTGCAGGCTTAGTGTTTCTTAATGCATTCAGCACAGATTATTGTACACAATCCTGTCATACAGATGCTTGTTGTTGCTGTTTTCCAGTTTCAGACCTTCTTGTATGCCTCAAATAGTATTTTATACCTTAATTATAATTTCTATTTTCCTTATGTCTTGTAATGAATTTTTAAAATAGTTAAATTTTAACCCTTTTTAGAAAACGGTTAAAGCAGGTTGTCTGTCTCCCCCTGCACAGCTTTGGTTTTAGTGTTTTGGGTTTTTCTTGTCTTTATTTTTGGTGGAAATGAACTATGTTGTTTTGGTGTTAGAAAGGTGTGTACAACCACATACTACAATCTGTGTCACCAGAAGAGCAGTTCATTTGTGGCACAATTCTTTATTCACCTTCACCTGTGACAGTCTGAGTCAGAAATCAGAAAAAAATAAGCTTTTTCATTTAAAGAAAGAAAGAATCAGAGTTACTGATTCACGCCTGGTAAGACCTGAAGTCACTGAAGATTTTTTTACCTAATGATGAAGTCTGCATCTTGTGCCAGGACTCCCTGTTCCTGGCAACATCTGAAAACATCCTCCAGCATGTACTTTATCCAAAACGCATGCAACAAGTTCTGATTTGCACTTGTTAGTACTTTCTTTGAGAAGTCCTTTTCTAGTGCACAGAGCTTTTTTGGGTGTCCCTTGTATAGCTTTCCTTTGTTGTCAAATTCCCTCCTTCGTGCTTGTCACAGGCTGGCTGAACTAGCCAGAGAGGACTGCTCCAAACAAAGAAATACTCTGTCCGGGAATTTTGGCAGGAATACTTCTCTGAAGAGTTTCCTGAGATCCATGAGAAAAAGCTTTTCCATTTAATGTGTTTCTTTCAACAGTTCTGAGAGTTGTAGTGTTCATTTGAAAGTGTTAATATAGATGCTTGCAAACTTGGAAAAACAGACTTGGCAGTGTGTGTTGTAGCTGTCTCCAGGGTTTGTGTTAGTTTTCATGGCCTAAATGCAGTCACCTAAAGGAAATACACATTTAGCAAGTTCTTTAACCATAATCTGTCATACTTACTGTTAGTTTTTTAAGCTTGTCCTGCAGAGGTATGTTTGGGGTTGGTTTTTTCAATTTTAGCACAGTGTCATAGCATGTTAAGGGGTCAATGTGATACTCATCCTAGTTAAGTCATTGAGAATAGTGACTAGATGGATGTGAAGTATCTAACAGATTGAGTTATTACAGCCTTTGTAGCTCTTGCATGCAAGTCAGAATATAGACTTGTTTTTTAAACACCAAGTAACTCCTGAAATGTTTTGATGGAGCACAACTGGTTTTGAGTTTTTGAGAGAAATCTTCCTTCATCTCTTGAATTACACTTTATATCAGTTAAAAAATAGGAGGTTTTGTGGACAGGGAGTTCTAATACTCAGTCATGCTGTTTTTCTAGTTTTTTATTAGCCTTTCTACATGATAATATCTCTTCCAACGCTTCAGAATTAAATTAGCAAACGGCCAAGCCTGCATTTCTCAGAACTGCCCATATGTCTTCCCCAACTAAGTATTATTTTACTGTATGGTGACTGTTGTTGACCCTCTAGCCACATGCAGCTCTGGAACTTGAGAGTGAATGATAGTGTAGATGGACCAGTTGTGCTTTGTATCATAATAGAAAAATTTTTACAAGAAACTTTTAGTCAAAATATGATGTATTATCACTGTAAATAAACTAGATTTAAAGAAAGAAACCTGAGAAAGCTAATTCCATTATGTCTATCTGGGAGAATTTGTTTCTCCCATATGGAACATGAGCAAGAATCTGACTTGTTTTGGATCTCCTCTCCTATTTGAATTGCAGTATCAAACTCACCTAGTGTGGGTAACTGTCTAGCAGCAGTGTGATTTGTTTAAGCCTGTTTTGAGTGTGGGCATGGTACAGTTTGGATAGGGACATAGTGCCCAAGGTAATGATTATGGAATTGAATTTGGGTGATGTTAGCACCAGAATTCTTGGTTTTATTCATATTTGAGGGAGAAAAGTGTTGATTGGTTGGGCAGTGTTTACAGCTATAGTAATCACAGTAATTTGGCAGATTTACTCTAAGCAGTGCAATTAAAACTCTGTGTGTTAAAGGTCTAGACTGTGTTTACACCTTTGGATGATATGTTTATATCTTCGAAGGGAATGTGGTTTCTTAAGTAAAAGCTGATAGAGCCGTGAAAAATATTAGGTACTTTGCTGTATGTGGGAGCTGCAGTAAAAAGCTGGAATGTAATTGCCTGTGGTTTTATGGATTTTCAGGTGCCTGTGGTTCATGCTTGAAGTTTTAATGACAAAGAATGAGAACAATAGCCATGCCTTCATGAAAAAGATGGCAGAAAACATCAAGCTTACCCGAGATGCTCAGTCTCCTGATGAGCCAAAGGCCAATGAAGTAAGAAATGTAATTCAGATTAGTGCTGGGTGATGAGCTGAGGGTTTCACAAGCACTTGACGAGCAGGATTTGCAGGAAATCTGACAGCACTAGCTCAGACGTTTTTGTGGTGTTTTAGAGTGTGTGTTAATTGCAAGCACTGTCTGCGTGTTGCCAATCTCATTCGTTCAGAACCTTGCTGACCTTTTCCAATACATAATAAAGTTAAAAATTTTTGTAAGTGTTCCTGTTACTGCTTGCCTTATTTTAACTCCTGCTGCCTAGTTTTCTGACATAAATATCTGCTGCTGTTGGGGGAGGAAATACAGTATTATGCAGCTACTGTAAAACCTACCAGTGTCTGACAGAGGTGAGAAACCATTTATGGTGATTTGATTGAACAAGCACTTCAACTGTACAGCATTGGCATGTGAAGTATTACTAGTCTTTAAATGCTGTCATATGAAAAATGAGGACTCTTCTGTGTTTTGAGAGGCAACTGTACATTAATGATGTAATTAGAGAATATGTCCTTAGTTGGGACAGCTTAGTGGTGGTTATTTAAACACATAGTTTAGACTTTTTGAAGAACTGCATTCTCTGTACGCTGCAAAACCAGTAAGTAATTCCTAAAGCATGCTTTTCTTTTTCCCTTCAGAAACTTTATACAGTATGTGATGTAGCACTATGTGTGATCAACAGCAAAAGTGCTTTGTGCAATGCAGATTCACCGAAGGACCCTGTATTGCCAACCAAATTTTTTACACAACCTGAAAAGGTAAATTTGTTAGTTTAATTTCCAAAGTAATAAGACAAAATACAATTATTTTCATAATTGAGAGCTGGTTATCTCCATAACATAATATGAGTGGGGAAAAATGCATCTTTTTATCATCATCAGTTAATTTTTTAACATCAGCTGTGTGCTATGCTATCTGTGTATTATGAATGCATGGCAGAAATGGTTGTACCCAGGTGAGAGCTAATTGAAGTAGTGATGTGTTAGCATGTATTGCTGGGTTGGTTTTAGTGCATCTGAATGCACAGCTGGGTTGGTTTTAGTGCATCTGAATGTATGTATGTTCTGATTGTGTATCTGCATTAGAATGCTAACCAGATGAAAAGAGAAGGAACATTTTTCATGTTAACCTGTTGTATGTTTCTCCCTGTCAGTAGTTAATTGGCTATTTTGCTTGTTGTACAAGTAGTAATAGTCTTGGTGAGTACAGCTCTGCTGTCAGCAGCAGCATTTCTGCTCTCCAAGAGACACTTCTGAAAAGTATAAGTGGAACCCATGTAATTCTCTGGACCAGACCTGATGTTTTGGTTGTCCTGAAGAATGTACTTGCTGACATTTTTCAGTGCCTTAGACTGTTAACTAACAGCTTTTCCAAGCAAAATTTGGTTGCCTGTTTAATTAGGAAATGGCAGTGAGCTGGTGTCTGTGCTACCTACCTTCATTCAGCTTCAGGGTTTTGGTCTGTGTAAACTGTACTAATAAAGTGACAAAGGTGACAACTTCACCTTGTTTAGAGAAAATGGCACTTTTTTTCCTCTCTTTTGGCTTCCCATTAAAAACAAGTGAACAGATAGGGAGGGCAGTTTTACAGCATTTCCAGGGTTTCATGTCACTTAAGAAGCAAAAATGTTAATCCCAACTTCAGGTATGGCATACTGTCATTCAGTAGTGCTTGCTACAAATCTGCTCCAAAATTCTGATTTGACCTGTCTTTATTGGGTTAATTTATTTGTCAGCAGGTTGCATGGTATGAATTATCTGTAACACTTGATAGTAGCATCTAAGTTGAGAAGTCACTCAGGTGTATATATGAAAACAAGAGCAAGATTGAAACATAAAACACAAACTGATTTTTACTTTACTTTTTTACACAGGATTTCTGCAATGACAGGAATTACATTTCAGAAGAGACAAGGGTTCTTCTTTTGACAGGAAAGGTACTGTATTTTGACAAGTTATTCTTTGAATATTGTGAATTTTAAAATCTCCTGGATGGCTGTACTTTAAAAATTAGAAAGCTACTATGTAATAAATAATTAGTATCATTAATAATTAATATAATAATTGACACAGTGTAACTACTTTCTCCTAGAATGCAGGAGATCTAGTCCACCCTTCATCCCTCTCTACCAGCTGGGGTAGAACCATTAGGTCTGAGGATAACTGGCTTTTCTGTTAAAGAGTGAGACAAAGAAGGTGTTAATACCTCAGCCTGTTCCTCATCCTTGGTGATAATGTTCCCCCCCCATGTCCAATAACA